CAACTCCGAGTAAAGACTGTCGTGTTGATGAAATTATTCGAAACAATCGTTTCTGCTATCTTCCTATTAGTATTATATTGATTCAGTAGCAATTTATTCGAATCTCTTATCACTTCTCATATGTTATTATCAAAATGCTTTTTTGCTATGAAAACTTGCCATTTTAGTTTGAGTTTATTTCACAAATAGTAGCTTAATTGAAAACGCTAACACAAAATATTCAAAGGATAGAGGCGGGAAACATAAGTAAATTCGGCCTGACCGGAACACAAATATTAAAGACCATCGCGTGGAAATATTCCGATTGTTTTCCTTATAACCAATGATGAGACTCGTGTGGTTTGCACAAACACGTTCCTGGAATGGCGTGATATCAGCGAACCCGTTCATGTTTTTTGCTTTATACGGCCGTAGCAAATGAGTTGTGTTATTAGCATTATATTTGGTATTTCAAAAGTTATGTTTTAAACCTATTGTTAGTGAATTCGATCCAAAAAAAATCCGAAACACTGAGTCCAGATTGCGGTAATTTTAAACTGTTAGATATATTAATTAAAGCTTTTGATATGAGTTCGCATGCTTGCGCACTCTTATGGAAAATTAACGAATGACGACAACGCAATAAGCATCTGAAACAAGAGAGCTAATGCTCAAATACAACCTGGGCAAAGTACGGCCGCCGGGCAAATCCAGCCTGTTCGGCAATTCAATCTGACCCGCCTGATACGGCCACAGCCAAACTTAAACCAAATTTTGATATTTTAGCTAAAACTAACTCAAGGAACTTGTTGAGATTGCGGTTAAATTTAGTTTTAGCACGAGGCTTATTGTTTTCCAGTGTTGCTTTTGTAATACTGTGAATATTATTTATAAAATGTTACTTTTTATGTCACACTTACGTGGCCCGCCAGTCTAAATAGGCGAAAAATTTTGCCCCTGATTCAAAAACCTTGCCCACTCCTGCTCAAATATGTGAACACGGGATCCGCTAAAATGCGTTCGCGGAACCGCCACAAGGTCCGCAACTTTTGTTGACGACATACCGCACAAAAAACGAATCCCATAGAGCTCACAGAAAATTTGAAATAAACAAAAGTAGTAGCCTTTTTAACAAAAAATATAATCTTAAACCATTGAAAATTTCAATTGGTCTAGTATTAAAGACAAAAAGATTTTTAGAAAATTAATGAGATTTTTTCATAATGATAGAAAGAAGAATTCTAACATAAAGAACAACATAGTAGCAAAACGATCCCTAAGGTCCCATCCGTGTGCAATGAATTCCCTTCGCGGGTGAACCAAATCACTAGCGATCACCAACCCCTGCAAAACAGATCGCATTTTGATGCACGTCACCTGTTATTTCGTTTTCGTGGCATTTATTGTTTTTAAACTAAGGCAACAAAAATACAATAGCAAACAATCGATAAGCCTACCAATGCCGCATCTCTCGCTTGAGTATTATTATACAGATTACAAGAACGAGTCATTGCTTCGGATTCGAAAGATTGCAATGTTCAGTATGACAATTTTCATCCAATCCATTTCAATTTCTATCAAAGTCTTGTAGGCCTACACAGAATTCACTCCCAATGGGCATTCTATTCCCAGACCTGCTTTGCTTAACTAACTCCTGTGGAATCCGAGTGTTATGCGCTCCAAACTTCTATCAACTTCCATGACACGGATACCAGTCATTGTTATACAACACTCAATCAAGAATATACAGGCTACAAAACATTCCCGGATGGATTTGTATTCATAAATTACCCACCTTTAGCTATTCATGGCTACCGCCTTTAAACCAAGAGTGACATTGCCATACTGACTAGTGCACTGGTTCTCAACCCGTGGGCCATGAACATATTAAAAATTGCCGGAGTTATTAATAATTTGTTATAAATTGATTGCAGTAGCAACATATGATGATACCGTTTTTGGAAATGAGTGGTTTTTCATTTGGATTTAAAAAAGTGACAGTGTCTGTTTTTACAGAAAGAATTTCTTGTTTTCCTTGTAGTTTTTTTGTCGCATGAAAAACTTGACGGGCCACAGAATAAATGGGCCATGAAAGAATAAAGGTTGAGAACCATTGGACTGAAGAATAAAGAGATGCATCGATGTATCAGTATCGGCCAAATGCAGATCGATATATTTCGATTTTTAATCTGATCCAAAATAGAATACGGATATTGAAATTATTGCTTGCGTGGTATGTTCTTGGTAATTGCCATGGCCGTCTCCATCCCGCAAGTAGCAACAGAAATATGATTCTGACCTGTTTTTAGCTATTCATCAGCCAAATTAGCTCAACTAATTTTCGCAGCCAAATTTTTATATTCACATTTTTAATATTACATGGAAATTATGAGGAAATATATCAATCAAATATTAGTGGATTTTCCAATGTGTAAAATACAAAATCCTGCGCATGCAACTTAAGTTTGATTGGATAAGTATGGTGGCCCATCGTTGTCACGCGTAAAATTGAAAATAAAAAATAAAATAAAAAACCGAAAATAAAAAAATAGTTGTGAAAAAACATAAAAATCATTGAAAAAAAAAATGAAAAAAAAATTAAAATTAAAAAAAAAAAGATTAAAAATAAAAACGAAAAAAAAAAATTAAAAAAAAAAAATAATTCAAATTGAATAAAAAGAAAATAAAAAGGTTGACAACGATGGTCCGCCTCGTGGCCCATCGTTGTCACGCGTTTTTATTTTTAGAAAATTTGCTTCTGCTTGGGACCAACGTTGTCAACTCACTACTGATTTTCTTGAGCAATATTCAATATGAAAATGTTCTATAAGTTCTCCATGCTACAAGTTAAACAAGAAGTAATATATTTATAATAATGATACGAAAATTCGGAAAATTTGTTTTTACGTGTAGAAGGTAATTTAATTGGAGAATGCTGATTAACTACTCAGTTGTCTGGACACTCGCGGCGCCGGTACCGTCTTACCAAATACCGATAGTCGGTTATAGTCGCTTTGCGTCTGACCGTACCGGTAGCCATGCAATCACTCATGAAAGAATGGGAGATACGGTTAGTCTCGTAGAATATAGACTACTGAAACACTCTATCCGCCTGCCTCATACCGTACAGCCGTAACGTACCGATCCAGACAAATCGCCCGTGCTCAACCATTTATTTCAATCCATACCTCGATCCTAGTAGAATATAGTGAGTCGAGGTATGTATTGAAATAAATGGTTGAGCACGGGCAATTTATCATTTGTCTGGATCGGTACGTTACGGTTGTACGGTATGGGGCAGGCGTAGAGAGTGTTTCAGTAGTCCATATTCTACGAGACTATCCGTATCTCCCATTCTTTCATGAGTGATTGCATGGGTACCGGTACGGTCAGACGGTACCGTACCGGCATCGCACGAGTGTCCAGACAACTGAGCAGTTAAGCAGCATTTTCCAATTCAATTACCTTCTACACGTAAAAGCAAATTTTCGTATTCAATTCCATATTCTCTTATCTTCATTAATAAATATTTTTGCTCGTGGCTGAACTTGTAGCATGGAGAATTTATAGAACATTTTCGTTTTGAATTTATTGGATATTGCTCATGAAAATCAGTAGTGAGTTAGAAACACATTTGTGCGTGTGGGATTAAGCCTGACAACGTTGGTCCCAAGCAGCATCAAATTTTCTAAAAATAAAAACGCGTGACAACGATGGGCCACGAGGCGGACCATCGTTGTCAACCTTTTCATTTTCTTTTTATCCAATTTTTTTTTTTTCGTTTTTTTCAATTTTTTTTTTTTTAATTTCAATTTTTCTTTTTTTTTCAATTATTTTTATGTTTTTTTACAATATTTTTTTATTTTCGCTTTTTCATTTTTTTTAAATTTTACGCGTGACAACGATGGGCCACCATAGATAAGTACATATTTATTTATTTTACCATCTATCGTAGCCGAACCCTACGGGTTTTCCTGTTGAACACCGGGATTACTAGCGTCGGTGCTCAATACATCTGTATCCCTAACATCAATTTCTTATTATCTGGAATATCTCTTTCAAGTTGAAATATCCTATCCTAAATAATGTGCACTGTGAATAATGCTCACATACTATTTTTTTACCCAGACATCTAAGAATGGAATCTTCTGAATGTAGGCTTTTTACTTTTCGATCTTAAAATCGTTAAGTATGTTGATAGGTATTTGTCTGTCTGTTAGATGAACGCGATATCTCACGAAGGCGAGGTTGAATCTGCTCCAAATTTTGCATGTGCATTCATCATATCTCGGACCAGAAGCTCATTGATTTTGGATGAATTATGTCGTATACTTTGAAAGTTGAAATATCCTATCCTAAGTTGAAATATCCTATCCTAAATAATGTGCACTGTGAATAATGCTCACATACTATTTTTTTAACCAGACATCTAAGAATGGAATCTTCTGAATGTAGGCTTTTTACTTTTCGATCTTAAAATCGTGAAGTATGTTGATAGGTATTCGTCTGTCTGTTTGTTTGTCTGTTAGATGAACGCGATATCTCACGAAGGCGAGGTTGAATCTGCTCCAAATTTTGCATGTGCTTTCATCATATCTCGGACCAGAAGCTTATTGATTTTGGATGAATTATGTCGTATAATTTGCGAGTTATTAATTAATTAGTGATGGAACATGCGGTGTCACTATAGGGTCATGAATCGAAACCGCTATTTCGATCGACAAGTCTTCGTTCTCCGACCGATATTCTCGTTTAAATATTGGCGTATTGGTATCGCGTTATTTTGTCGGTGTCGGTATCAGCGATAAAAGTGATATTGGCACTTCCTTACTCCTGACCAAACCAGAGAGATAAGTTGCATAAGGTGTGTCAAATTAGGGATGGCGAAAGCTATTTAACCCCATTCCACCTATTGCTACCACTACTGTGGATGGAGCGAAGAAAACATACAACCGATTCAGACACCAGTTTAAGAAAAATTTCCACTGCAGAAAATCAGATATTGTTAATGCAAGATTGTCGAGCGCTTAGTAAACCCTATGTTTATTGAGCTTCTGTATAAAATTTTGACTTCTTTATCACATATCAAACAAAAGTTGAAATTCCAACACCAACTCAGAGAATTCAAAATTTTGATTATGACTTCATACTAGGAATGGGCATTTTTAAATACCCATCAGAATCGAATTTCGATTTTAGAATTGAATACTTCTACTGACTCGAACAAATGGGTCAGGCACATAAATTACTGAAAACATGCTTTCATAACTTGGACAGTTTGTTGAGCGTTGCACATAAAAAGAAACATGTTTCATAACTAGAAAGAACTAGAAAAGTCAGATTTGCATTGCAAAGATGGCTTCAATTGTAAAGCGGACGAATAATTCATAACTTTCCATCTGAACCGATTCAAATAATTTACATACTCCAAAATGAGGGGAGTTTGAAAATACAGACTACAATGAAAACACATGCCACGCTCTGTCACCACAGCCCTGGATCAGAATAGACCTAACAATGAATGGTTGGAAGTCTTCTATGGTGAAAATGTTCACAAGTATGCCCCTTAAAGTTAGACACATTCATAACAATACTTTACTCTGAATGTTTCATATATCCCCTGATCAAAAGCATCATCACTCATAATAATGACAAATTCATTTGAAGTATGACAGAGACTGCCAAAAAACTACATATATATTTATAAAAAACTTTGTAAAGTGTCCCAATTTTGACAGTTATAAATCACTACGTACTCCGAATCCAGGACCAGTAGGTGGTGTCGACAGTGAAGTTAGTCCCCCTAAAGGTTCACATGCAAACCTAGAACTTCTAGGTCCGGCTTTTGGCTTTTTACCTGCTTTTAAGTCCTCAAGAATTTCCTCCATATCAGACACCTTCAAATCTTCATAATAGTCATCATTGATTTGCACCATAGGGGCATTAACACATGCACCAAGGCATTCCACTTCACTGAGTGAAAACTGCTTGTCTGGAGTTGTCTCTCCTACTTTAATTCCAAGATTTTTCATAATTGCTTGTTTAATGTCCTCTGATCCACAGAGCATACACGGAGTAGTTGTGCAGATCTGTACATTATATTTTCCAACTGGATTTCTCATATACATTGTATAAAATGTAGCTACCTCATATATTCTCATTGGTGTGACTTTCAATACTTCTGCTACTTTGTTCATTGCAGATATAGGCAGCCAACCATGTTGTCTCTGTGCAATATCAAGCACAGGCATTATCGCAGCAGCTTCATGACCTACTGGATAATTTGCAACAATAGCATCAATCCGAGCAAGATTTTCTTTTGTGAACTCAAATGGTGTATCTGGATTGTTTTCTGGGGTATCTACATGGTTGAATAAAGCATCTGATGACCGTACTTGTGATGTATGGAACGCTCGAATTCCAGTAGAAAGAAAATCTGAAAATCTTCGATTAAACAATGATTTTCCAATTGAGAGCATGGTTGATATTAGTTAATATTTGGTCAGTATTTAACTGTAACATAAAAGAAAAACAAAATATTAGATTTCAGCAGAGTAATTTCAGGTAGTGAGAACCGGTAATACTAACAACAGTCGATAAGTGAAACTGCTAAACCAAAGTTTCCAAACCGGTAGGGGATAATGTCGTTCTAGGGGAGAAATCTTGCTTTGTATTGGCTGTAATATTACTATACCGATATTCTTTAGTTTTTTATTAGGTACTCCCGTAGTGTGTGTACCAGGTTAGAGTTAAGGCCATAATTTTATTACAATTGGGACTGCCAAGTGAATATCCCCTGCCCATAGGTTTCAGTCTCTTTACACAACTTGATGTAAAATAGGCGAACAAAATTAGTTAAATCCATATTGGTACACACACTTCTGGAGCACCCTTTATTATTACTATAAACCCAATACCTGTGTACAAATTATATACTATTCGTACTAAATGAAATCAGGCTTGTGACTCGCGCATAACACCACCTAACGTTTCATTAAAGATTGAAGAAATAAAATGTGGGAAAAAGCTCCAAAATAGGCAAAGTCAGGAATTCAACGATAAAAGTTTGGAACCACTGCGCTAAACCAAGGATTCCAAAACGAAACAGATATTCAAATTCATTTCGATTTCCAGTATATTAGATGTAGCAAATCCATGACCTCACATTACATCTGATCTCTGATGATATACCAAAATAGGCCAATTTTGAATGTGGAAAGTATAGAAATCATTATTTATCTCAACATTTATGTGCCATTAATGATGACTTGTGTAAAATTTCTCACTATATGATAACAAAAATGTGGGATGTATATGTTAAAATAGTGCTCCATAAGTATGTGAACCAAAGTGGCGGGACACCGGAACGTAGTACGTGTACCAGGTTAGGGTTAGGTCGTAATTTTATTCCAATTTTAGTTATTTCAGTTGTATTAAGAGTTTGGTAACAAGTGACTCCCGTAATATTTGTGCCTGAAATTATAACCTAACCCAAACCAGGTACACATACTACGTTCCGGTGTCCGCCACTTTGGTTCACATACTTCTGCAGTATCGTTAAAATATTATTCAGAAAAAACTCCTACTTCAAATAGTGAATTATCAGCCATGGTGGAACCGAATGCATACCCTATAAACATGTGAAAACTGACAATCTAAAAATGACTGTCAAATAGTTCTGAATCAGTTCAGAGCTCAAACTAGTCATTGAAACATCTCTGTAATCCGAAGGCAGCACTTGGGATAACAGTGATTGGAAACCCTCAAACTGTCATACCATATATTACAAACAATCACAGTACAAAAATTTTACGAATGTAAAATACATTCAGACAACAAGTCATTGTATATTATAAAGATTGTATTTAAAAGAAAAATAGAAACAATAGAGATTTATTTTTTTGTCAACAAAAAAATACAGTCATCAATGCAGTAAAAAGTAGCAACAATAAAATTGTTTTGGTATGGACAGGAGGGAGCAATACGGCCATGCGGTCGAGGTCAACTCCTACCATTTTCGTTTGTATGAATAAGATTCAAATTTCAAGATGACTCACTGAAAAAGTTAAACCAGTAATATTTTTGCATAATTTAGGAACAACAAATAATATAACTCGCTAATATAGCTCGTTTCTGTTGGCATTATTTTCTTCGATGGGTTACTCATGTTCTAAGATAATATAGAGAAAATGGTAGCTAAAATATTATAGACTTTAGATTGATCCCCCCAAAAAGTGGCGATAATAGGGTAACTTACGTTAATTGTTATATGTGGGTGTGAGAAACTGGGGCTCAAGCTAATCACGATATAACCTGAACGGGTAAGAATAATAGCAAGAAAATTGATGTCAACATAAGATACAGATGGAAACTCAGTTGCACTAATAATATCAGCAACAAGATCATTATTTTTTCTTTCTATGCAGTTTGTAAAAGTAAAACTACTTAATTTTTGATTCAATTAAAGGCTGTAAGGTGCCATTAGGATGTTTTAAAATCCTATTTTGAATATAGCCTATGTAAATACAGCAATAACACTGTGATATTACTTCAGTACTTTAAGTACAGAATTATGTAATCCTATCAATCACTGTATCAAGAGTAGGCTACAAATATACGAACTAAAAATGCTAATGTCAGAATGTTTTGAATATGCAGGAAAGGGAAGTTTGATCAGATTCCATTTTCTCGGATATAAAAAATATTCCAAGAGAATTGAAAAGCCAGTAAGCCAACTTACCAATGAAATAAATCACCACCAGCTGACGAGATACGACACGTACTTACCAATGCATGGCTTGCATGCATGAATTTAACCTGGGTTACCCTGGCCGCCAATTCTCAGCATCCAATTCTGCAAGAAGATAAATCGTAAAACTAATTCTGTCACTAATTTAACACGATGTCATATGAAGCGCGGATGTCATGACATCACCGTGATGGGATTTTGGTTTATTTATTATACAAACTAATGTTCCTGATCGGAATATAATTTTTTATATGTTCCCATGAGTCCCAAGTTTTTTTTTATTCCAGAATCTTACTTCGGAAAACAAAAACACTATGCATTCAACGGTATTGTTTGCCGGATTTCAGTCCAACTTTGATTTCGTTTATTTTTTATTATATGTTCCTCAAATTGGAATTTTTTTAAATATTGATATTTTATGCATTACATCAATAAAATCTCGCTCTGGAAAAATAATCGTTTAAGTATGTTTCAAACTTGCCATAAAAGACTACCGAAAATTGCCTATATCACCCAAAAATGGTTTTTGCTGATTTATTATATGTTCCCCGAATTGGTATTTTTTTAAATTTTGATATTTTATGCATTACATCAATAAAGTCTCGCTCTGGAAAAACAATCGTTTAAGTATGTTTAAAACTTACCTTAAACGACTACCGAAAATTGCATATATCTCCCCAATAATGTTTTTTTTATTATATGTTCCCCAAATTGGAATTTTTTTAAATTTCAATATTTTTTTGCATTACATCAATGGAGTCTTGCTCTAGAAAAAATAATCGTTTAAATATGTTTCAAACTTGCCGTAAACGAATCCCGAAAATTGCATATATCCTCCCAAAAATGATTTTTGCTAATTTATTATATTATGAATTTTGATATTTTTTGCATTACATCAATATAGTCAGGCAGAATCGAGCCTCAATATTATTTTGAGACATGAAGTTTTTTTCATTGTTTAGATATAATGTCGATGACATAAATAATGATACCCAGGTGGGTGTGAAGTATATAATGTTGAGCAATTTTTTTAAGTGTGAATTTTAAGTATTCGTACCAAGATGACGCACGTCCTGAACCCTAACCTGGAACAATACAATGTTCAGGTTGTGCGCCATCTTGGTTCGAATATTTTGGGAGCAACTTTTTGTTAAAAACAATTATTTCATAACTACATGGTTTAGTTTTGAATACATAGTAACATTGAATCTCCTTACAATGCCATAAATTCAATTTTAGTAGAATAAATGATTGTTTATTTCACTAATATAAGCTAAGAGCCATCGACAGCATCTAGCCACTTTCTTTTGCACTTTCAAACTACATTAGTGTTGCGGCGGGCGTTTTGTTTTCCTGCTTAAAGGTTAGGGACTTGGGAAATGTTTTATTAGTTGAAATGAATTGGAATATTCGAACTCGTCTTTCACTCCGAACAAGGCCATGTAAACCCACCCACTGGTATCTAACGATGTGTAACGTGTTTTCTTTTGGAAGAACCCGTATCTTTCAGGTGCAGTATTGACTTTGGCCAAATTAATATATCCTTGTGGAGATAGAAAGTATGCGTATGCGAAACCGAAATGTGCACCTGTTATGCCAACATAGTTGAGTCAAACAATTTGATCACTAGAATATCACATGCATTCTCCTGCGTGCTTCGGTTGTAGGTAATAACGCGCATATTTTTGTGCACATGCATCAAATTCCACTCGTTTATTGACCTACAGGTTTTTGACGAGCTTTTGTGTATGATTTCATTCCATAGAATTTGTATGCTGATTTAAAGAATACTACTTTCAGCTTTTTCATTCATTCAAACCGCGTGTTGGAAGTTTGTTTTGTAATATTGAGTGTTAGTTTTCAACTGGTTCATTTATATCCATCACTTGACATCCTTAAATCGGTGATGCCAGTAAATCTTTAATACAAAAAGATCAGTATCATCTGCAATAAAAACAGCAGTACTCCACTCGAATGACAGCTGGGAGACGGATACTCATATTATCTGCTCCATCCCGTGACGTTTCAATATGAAACCTTCTTCTTAGCAGTTTACATGAGTGCTAATTGGAATCTAAGCTCAGCCAGAGACAAAAAGTTTCGGACTGTGGTTGGCGCGACGAAGTGTTTTTGAATATATATTCTACAATAAGAATATTTGATTGCATATTACTGGAAGTTACGCCTTGTATGTCTTTCCCCATTGCACTATTCCTTTACTGATATTCGATAATATGACGCTAATTGACATAGTTTTTCAAGTGTGTAGATAGGTATCATCTTTTCAAAGAAGTTCAGATGGGAATGCGCGAATATATCTAAGAATCGCTAATATTGGCGTTTCTGCCTCACGCAATTGCTGCGTATATTTATTGGAGAAGTTCTGTGGCGTGGTTATCAAATGAAGAAAACCAGGGAGTATTTTTTCTACTTCTCTCAAACCTTCAACTTTTCCCCATTCAACCATTTTTGAAACATCCCCAACAACCACAATTATTTCTGTCATTAAACTTCCGAAACAAAAACATAAAATCATCAACAGATGCATTATTATGCATATCACCAAGTCCTAAGTAGATATTGCTGAATTGATCTTTATGGTAAACCTGTTATCTATCGTAAATACAGCATATTTGACTATGTTGTAGTGTAACTTTATTTTACCATTTTTCATGTAATGCTTCTTGGTAAACCTGTTAGCTATCGCAAATACAGCACATTTGACTATGTTGTAGTGTAACGTTTTTGGCCTCACATTTTTGATATTTGTAGTTAGATCTCTTGGGGCTCTGTTAAACAAAGTTACATGCAAAATATTGGTTGTAAGTTGCAAAACATGATCATGTTGGTGGAATACCTTGACATTTTACCACCCGTATATCATTCATTGTCGAGAATATTAATGAAATAATAAAATCTAAAACCCGGTTTTGCGAATTTTTTGTTGTAGCTGAAGTCGAGGAACATCATGACAACAGGCAAGAGAAGCCTCTTTTAGTTTATGACAGGGTTTCTTAAAAGGGGACTCCAGCCTCCTTGGAGGCCACGGATCGGTTGTCTGGGAGCACGAACAAACAGACGTAAATGCGAATATATAATATCAATGTATTTTTATAGAAGAGAAGAAGCAAAAGTGTTGAGAGTCTTTGGTCGTTTGAAAACCATTGGCATTGAACATAAGCATGAACTACATTCCTTCCCGAGGATATACTATAAAATGTAGCAATTTTCTCATTCGTGTTCTCGTGATAGCATTATCTTACACTGCATCGTCGTGATCATCCCGCTGCATAACAATCCTTGCTAACAAATAATTGACTGTTCTCCACCGGGTGTATATCCACTTGAACCACTGCCGACTGCATTAGCAGGCTTGTATTGTTAATTGCAACAAACCCGTTTTGGGGTGACATATGCGATTTTCAGTAATCGTTTTCGGCAAGTTTGAAACATACTTTATCGATAATTTTCACAGAGCACGGCTTTATTGATGTAATGCGAAAAATATCAAAATTAAAAAAAATTCCAATTTGGGGAACATATGATAAATTAGCAAAAACCATTTTTGGGGTGAAATATGCAATTTTTGGTAGTCGTTTAGGGCAAGTTTGAAACATACTTAAACGATTACTTTTCCAGAGCAAGACTTTATTGATCAAATGCAAAAAATATCAAATGAATCCAGTCTGGGTTATCGGCGGTGCAGATGCCATTTCGGGCGATCGTAATTATACTTTGGCAAGCCATATGACGTGATGGTGACGTCGTAGTGACGTAATTTTTGGATGGCTTAGTCAGGTGGGGGTTAGGAGTCCCTACAAAATTCGTTTCGCTAAGCCCACTACAAGTACTTGTGGTACTAAACTATACTAGACCCCAATCATACAGGGGAAAGTGGGGAAGGTTGGGACACTTATTTTTTTTTTGCATATTTTGAGCTGTTAATTCTGCATATTCACTTAAGCTGGCGGGACAAATTCATAGAGGGGTAGATGTAGCTTTTATTCAACGACTAAGAAATTTCCTTGCGACACACATCTTACTACCAAAATGCTTTGAAAAACGTCTGTCAAGTGTCCCACTGTACCCCACTTGTGGAGCACATTCGGACAGACCCTGGGGCACAATGGGTCAGTCTGTCAAAATTCAACAAAGTATGCCCTTAAAAATAAGCAGTTAATCAGCATAATCGTCTAAAGAACAGGGAGACTGCAAATTTGAAGATTTAATATTTTTAAAATCAATGTTCAACTGAAATAGTTCAGATATTTTGACAAAAAATTTCACAAACAAATTTGATTATTTCCTTCCTCGAATCTAAATCTGGAAATGTTATTGATTCTCGAATATATTCCATATTGGGCCATGGGTCGAAAGAAACCATATCATTACACAAAATATAACGCATCCCTAGGTCTCTAAGCACTTATTGTATCAAACACTCTCGAATTGTGCCCTCTAGGGCATGTCCCACTGAACCCCGGTCCATTGTTCCTCATAGGAAACAAATATTTTCATACCATCCCACGGCGAAATTCGGGAGGCACATCCACTCGCCAACGTTATGAATATTTTACAGTGAAGTAAAGCTGAAAAATATCAGACGGTGGTTTGTCATGTTGGAAATGCTGAAGTAGAAAAAAGAAAAAACTGGATTGGGGAAATTTTAGTTTCAACCTCCCAAAACCAATTTCACCTCATAGCTTGCGCCGCTCTACCCGTCCGTTGTCCGTTCGCGGGGACGTTGTAACTCACCGAAAGGCGGATTAAAACTTCGAACCGCGGACAGGATTGCGGATATAGTACAAGTGTGAGAGCTGATTTTCCACTGTGCCCCATGTCCCAACGTGCCCCACCTCCCCCCACATGTTTCCGCAGCAGCACTAAGCGAATATGAATATTTGGAAATCATAGTCTATCCTTTAAACTGCCGGTAAAGGATTGGAATCTCACATTTATCTTGTAGTCTTTGAGGCAGTGAGTAAGATGACTCAATCATAAGGATAGGATTTACATATTTATCCCGGAGGGAGGAAAGCCGATGAGACGTCTCAATCATATGGCGAACCACGGCCTCTCGTCCGGTTAGCCAGTTATTTGTTTTCGGAAGAAGGA